TTGAAGACATATTCAGAAGACCATAAGAACAGTCACATGGTCATCAAGACCCTCGTGCTCTTTTGTTTTTTTTAGTAGGTAATTGATGCAAGAATCTCATCTAGCCATTTCTTGAATAAAACAAGGATACTGGCTTCAACAGAATGGCTTTGGAGTTTATTCAGTATTCCCACAACCCTTTGTGAAAAGATGTGCCTTCTGTGTTCAATGTTAAATGCAGTTCCATCTAATTTCTACCTGGGCCTATGAGTCATGTTTCATTATTGGTCCTGAAGATTTCCATAGGATTGACTTGCTTATCATGTAATTTAAATATTCTAATCAATTGAGATTTTATGCTTATGGTATAGACAAATGCACAAGAGGGCAAATATTGCTCATCTATCAGAGGCTGAATTATCATTTCCATTTTCTGACCAGGCAGTTAGAAAAGTGACAATCACAAAGAAACTGTCCTAGAAGGAAACTGTCCTTCCTATACCACTCCTTCACACTGGGCCAGAAGCAGTTAAGAAAACAACAGTTGTTCACAGTGTCACATTAATGTTTTTAGAGACTGTACTGTTCTTTGCATTGCATTAGTGTGCCTGGTTACTTTTCCCCACCTTTGTGAATAAAGATGTTGACAAGAGGGACGCAACACTGAAAGCATTTTTAAAATTCTACCAATGTCAGTCAGTCCCACCTCAGACAGTAGGTGTTTAACTTTTTTGGGCATCAATTGAGCTGTGGCCATCAGGTATTTCTGGAAGTGTCCAGGCGCAAGTCAGTGATAGATAAAATAAGACATGACCTTGTCTTCTGTCCATGGTAGCCAGGCAGATTGCCAAGTGCTTAACTTCAGGCTTTGCCTATAACACTGACACTGTAATACATTCTTAACACATTGGGAAATGAGTGTGTGGAATAGTCAGTCGAGTTACAGTATGTATTGTGGAAATATAGTATTTCTTCACTTTGACGGGGAAAAACAAAAATATATATATACCGATATTTGGTTGTAAAGATTGCCTGTCTACTTTTTTCTATAGATGGAAAAAATGTTCCAAAGAAAATTCTACTTCAGTTTTTAGGACTGAGAGCTGAGCGCTGAGCTGTAGATTCGTTATTAGCAGGAGGTGACAATCCATTGTAGTCTGACACTCTTCCATCTGGCTTTATTAGGTGATAGTTTGATAGAGGCGGTTGATGTGACATAATGTGAGATGTCATCCTATGCTCACGCAATATCAGAGATTCATTTTTAAAACAGGAATTGTCACAACCTTCAGTGTGAGACAATCTTAGTGTTCTTTTAGGATTAGTTCCACCTTTACAATAAAATGCAAACATGTTTTCATTTTGGGGGTTTTGGTCTCTTGGGATAGTAAAATACTCTGCCCAGATCATTAGAAACACAATTCTTCGAAGCCTTTGTTAAAGTAAATTTTCTTCTGTAAGCCACTGTATTGTTAAGATCATTATTGAAAAAGGAAAATTAATTTTTAAATTTAAGGAACATATTGCTTGACTGAAGTACAGTAATTTGCACTACTGATAATTTAATATCTGTACATGATATTACCAGCCTGCAAGCACAAGCATAAGTAAATACAGAAGGATTAATTGTGTTACATCTGAAGACAAACATAAAAAACACTTTTTGTTCTATTTAGTTTACTTTGGAGGAAATGACATCTTCAATGTGTTTTACCATTTATCTCAATGATTCTTTTGCAAATGTATTTCTTAGCTGTTAGAGGCTTAAGTGTGGAATCTCTCCTGTTTTATTCTCCAGATTGATTGTATTTAGAAGCTTCTGCTATAGGCCTGGAAAAAAAATGACAAGCCCATATTGCTTTATCATCTCGGACAATGAACCTTTTTATGTGCCACAATTTACACTGGCTTATTGGGTATCTGACAGCTGTGACGGTGCTTTCATGCAGAGTGGATTGCATAATATTTTCTGGTCAAAGCATTTAGAATGTGGTTGGGTGCTAGAAATAAAATCAGTGATTTTTAAAAAATATCTGCCTCTTTTAAGAGTGTTAAACTGCGCTGAAACAATTCTGAGAAATTAAGTGTATCCTGTCTTCATTCTCCTCATTCGTCTGCTTCACAGAGATGTCAAACATGCTTTGTAAGAACTAGAAAATGTAGTGTAGTTTAGTGTTGAGGGAGCAGCAAGGGTCATACATTTTCAGTTTTATTTATTTTGGATCTTCATTTGCATTTCTTCTACCGTACATATCATTTCTGCTTAAGTGAGTGGCTGCCATGTTTACCCACCATTGTTGATAAAAAAGCATTTTTACCTCTAGTTCAGTCACAATCTAAACAGTTGTTTATCTAGTAAACATCCATCCCGTTTTTAGCCACTTTATCAATTCTGGGTCGCAGAGGGAGACAGAGCCTATCTTAGCTAGCAACAAGTGCAAGGCAGGGTACACCCTGGAAGGGACACCAGTCTATTGCACTGCAGACACACAGACATGCACTCACACCTAGGGCCACTTTTCCCAGGCTGTACTGTACTGTACTGTACTGTGCAATAGACTGGTCTTTGGATTGTGTGAAGAAACCAGAGCACCTGGAGTAAAGCCCCACAAATACAGGAGAGAACATACAGTACATACTGTACAAACTGCACAGGGAGAGCACACCAGGCCTGGAATTTAACTCAGTACCCCAGTGCACTGCGGCAACAATGCTAACCACTGCTCCACCATGCTACCTGCATATTGTGTTGTGTCCTGTTAACAGAGTTATAGAGCCCTGCTAAAAATGTCTTAATTCCTGCAAAACCAAAGCCTTAAAAGCTAACACAATACACCCTCGTTAAAAACAAAAATGTTCATATGCTTCTTGAGGAAATTCAGATATAATTAACAATGTGCCTCCAGTTGTACTGTTATTCATGTTAGGCCGTATATTAAAAATGTAATTAAAACTGAACTTTGTTAATTTTCCATATAAAGATGGCTGCTCCAGTGTGAAATCTACAAAAGAAAGGTTTGACAGTTGTCAGAATGACGCAAGATTCAGTGTCTTGAATTAACGATTACACAAAGCAGTTTCAAAACTTGCCTTACCTTGTATGTTATTTATGGCTCAAAAGTTAAACCTTCAGATGAATTGCAAAAACAAGCAAAAGCAGTCAGCAAGTAATCTTTCAGAACTGTCGTTTCAACTCTCTCTGAAATGGTTATGCTTGAAACTGGCCTTGTTTGAGTGGGTTGAATTGAGCAAGAATGACATTTTTTTTTCCTCTTCAAAATTCAATTTCTGTCAAGTTTCATAGCTTCAATTTAAAAAAAAATGTCCTAGATTATTCTGAACAGAGGTATTACGATATTGATTGTACTATCTAAACTTCAGTTGTGCCAATTATTAATCATTAGCACGCTTCAATGTCCTGAACCACACGTTTTTCCAATATTTGCTGTTCAAATATGATTATCAGTTCTTAAAAAAAGAAGGTTAGATATTAGCATTAGTCCTGGAAAAAGTGTTTCATAATTTCTCCTGTTTAGGTTTGTTTGAAAGTAAAATTGATTAGATTGGTCTATACAACATGAAGAATGCCTGTAATCTGTTTGTGAGTGTTAGTCTCACCCGTGTCTGTAATTTGTAAGCAATTAGGAGTTGTTCTGAAAGCTATGGGAACTGTAATGTTTAAATGAAGCTGAAGTAGGGTTCTGTTTCAGCAATTCTTGGAAATTATATAAATAAAATAGATTATTTCTGAGACTAAGACCTGAGTGAAGGTTAGGGTTAAAATCAACCAAGTGTTTAGATTTAGTTTAGATAAGGGCTCATTATGCTTAATTAATTAAGAACTCAGCTGGAAAAATAATGAAAAGGGAAAGAGGTACTTAGAGAATTAATATTTAGAAACACTCTTAGCAGAAATAACCAAGGGAATGTTTGATAATCCATTGTTAACGACAATCAGAATTGACTGCTGTACAGTATATCAAGGTAAAATGAATGCCTACTTTAAGAAAACATCTTCATATACAGTACAAGCTCTAAGTTTTTAAACACTAAACATCACTGCACAAAATGAAGATTAATAATGTTCAAATGATTTAGTAATATGTTATTTTTTAAAATAGAGGGTAGAATCAAGCCATGTTTCTCAAGTTATCTTTAGAGATGGTTAACTGTCTCAAAAATAACTAAGACGTTAGTGTTTATCTGTTAATATTAGGACAGAACACACTTCGATAGTCAATTACATCCCTTATAGTCCTTTAATTCTTAATTTATTAGTTAATTAAGAAATATACGCATTATATATAACTATACATTTATATGAGTTACAACATACAACTTTATAGCTTTATAGTCTTTTCTATTTGATTTTAATAGTAATAGCTGTTAACAATATTACTATTACAAATAATTGCTCAACAAAAATGTACAAGAAAAAAATCAACAAAATTGTTTCTGCTGTTTATATTACTATAATGTATATTAATATTTACAATATCTTTGTCATTGAAGGGATAGAAATACGCATATACTGTATATATTCTGAAACTGTCGCGTAAACGTTCTTTGAAAAGACGTCTTACACAACAGAAACAGCAAGATTTGCTTAATTCTTATTTAATGTTGTACTTACTTAGAACTTCCTGCACATACTACAAATTTCATTCTGTATTAAATATTTTTTTTATAAAATCAAACGTCGATTTTAATTTCAATCGGAGTATTATTTAAGGAGCTGTTGCTTGTTTTCTATCCTGTTGTGTTTTAAATAGCTGTTACGCGCAATTTCTTTCTTTTTTTTTACCGCAGGCTGTTTATTCCTCTTTCTCCCTGCTCATTCTCCTAAGATAACGAGAGAAAAAAGAAAAGCAAAACCTGTCACCTACACTTTCTGGCAACACAATCTGTTAGAAAGGACTGGGAGTAGAGCCTGTAGGTGGGTAACCTAGTTGCTCTGAATTCTGAGCACTTCGGCGCATCTTTCTGCTATTTAGAGAAGGCAGGTAACTACTACTCGCCAACGAGCATCTTTTAATTTGACCATTTTATGATTCTGATCAGAGCGCTAATTAGAGCAGGCGGATTCTGACAGGAGAACTTCTGGTAGCCGCGATTGCTGAAGGCTCCAGCGCACGTTTCAATTGGACGTGGAGGTGCGCTAAAAAGCCTTTCTCCATCTGCCCCCCAAAAGGCTTTCACCAAATGTTCTTCTCCTTCTCCTCTTTCAGACTCGACTTTCCACAGACAGAAGCGGCTGGCTGTTTAAAATGCAAGGTCGCAAGCTGTTTGGATTTGCTTACATAGGAATTCATATATGGACATCGTACTTGTTCAGAGGTAAGAAATACTGATATTTTTTTATATCTCAAAGCTGGACGTTGTTTTTCCAATATTCCGTTGTCACTAATGAGTAATGGGTTTCCGTTAAGGATCAAGTGATTCAATAAAAGTTGTGTAAGAATGTCATTAAAACGAACCAGTTCTTTTATGCTCATTAGTTATTTTGTAAATCTTTACCCCACTATTACTTTATTAGGAATACCGGTTATTTTGAGAAATAAACGTTAGGTTTCGTTATGCTACAAATGCTAGGAATTGCGATCCGCGCTAACAAAATAGTGGATTCAACGTGGGGTTTAGCTATTTAAGGCAGCGTTAACTTTTCTTTTTCTATCCAGTACTATAATACATTTTCAAGAGAAGTATTATGGATGCTGCAGTGCACTCTTCCTGTAACAAACTACGTTTAACTAACATTTTATTCTAAAATGTTAAAATTAATCTCGGGATACACATTTATTGTGAAGCCAAATGATTATTCAGGATGTGATAGCAGAACATTAATGCAAGTTCTCATTGTTTAATGGGGTCAAAAGACCGGTTTGCTAGTTCTGACGAATACGGTATATTGATTTTGACTTTAACAGAAAAACACGGGGGCTATTTGTTGGTAGTTTTTTAAGTATTACAAATCATTACAGGATGCGTTAACCGCTTAATATGATGAGCCTTTGGAAGATGGATTTGGTTTGAAATGGGCTATCTCTGCTATGGGCTATCCACTATACTGTATATATGATTGTATTTTCACAGCAAGAGAATGAATATAAATATTCCGTGGAAAGCATTCCGTGCAAGAATGCGTTAAAAATCTGAAAAATGTCTCAGTTGCTTGCCAATGTCAAACTCTGCCTTAGTCAGACAATATGATTGTACCTATCACATCTGGTCACCTACAGTACACTGTTGTGTGTCACAGGACGAGGGCGGTTACCAGAAACGGGCTTTCCAACGTACAGTATACTGTAGGTACAGGAAAATGATTAAGACATCTAGGGCACAGCAATGATCCGTTTCAGTTTTTCAGTCTTTGGGCTGTTGTACAAATTCTGTCTTCGAAACATCTACAGTATCAGTTTCCTGCTTTAAATGAATGCAAGTAACAGAAGACCTCTGAGCTACAGTATGGACCTGACTCATAATTGTATCAATGTTAAACACTTAAAAATAATATATATATATAATTCTGTGCTTTTGATAAAAGGGCTTTTTTACATCTTAAATCTTGAAGTGGACTTTGAAGACTGAACGTTGAATATTTAACTTCATATAGGTCTTAAGTCTTGTTCAACTATTCTCCAGTTACAGCTTTTGTATATCAGAGCTATAGTCTGCAGGTGGTGGGAAAGGGAAATGAAAGAATAAAAATATCACACTCTGCAACACAGACCATATGAAAAAAGTCTTCCAGTATTGCAGATTACCTGAATGATATTCATTTGTCTTGCTATCTGACATAAATGGTTTTGCCAGCTATCTGACATACTGTAAATAGTAGTTTGAAAATTATGCTCATTGTAGGGCAAGATGCCCACATTCCACACAAGCAAATGAAACTCTCAAGATGACAGTACATGAGCAGAAGGTATCCATCACCAAATGTTTCGGTAGCATAGCCTGTCAAAAAATCAAGTGATCCATGACAGACTTCATCATGACTAATTGAATTTAATATTGCATAAACAAATGCACATGAGCTGAATCCTTGAATTACAGTAAAATGAGTGCTCATTTTCAGATCAGTAGGTGAGAAGGCCTGGGTCTAACATACAGTAACTGATAGCATATCAAACACTCTATAGTGAACGTTTTAGGGATGTGATCATTTGAAGAGTTATAGTGAGTGTTAATTCAAAGTATAAGGGAAGACTGCTACTATAGAGTAGCATTGGGTTACTTGGGCAGTATATGTCAGCTTCAAAATTTAAGAATGTTTCCACTAACCAATAAAGTTCTGTTAAAAAGATTCTTTATAGAATAAAGGTAAAAAAAAGAACAAAGATTTAGCCTCAGATCTCAAATTCAGTGTTTCTCACAAAGGTTGGAATTTATCATTTTAGTATCTGCACGAAACTAGGTTTTACCCAGTTAGTGTAACTTTTTGAAATTTCAATTTCACCTCTTACCTAAACCGATTATTTTGGTTTAATCTGCAAACTAGGTTATTAATTAAACAAGAATCTAGATAATTGATCGAAATGTGGAAGGGGCATCAATACCTTGTGGCAGTTCACCAATGAATTCACCCCAATTTGACAATTCACCCCTATTTATACA